ATGAAATTATTACATTAGACCAATAAAAACATTTAATTTCCAAAACTTAAGCTTAATAAAAAGTAAACTTCATACTTAGAGGTTGTTATTTTTAAAAGGCACTTTTAATCTGATAAATCTTCCTTGTTAGAATGCTTTAATTAATTTATGGCTCTACTTCATAAGGCCAATAATAATAAGCATTAAATCACAAAACAACCCAACAGTAGCTATATTATTGAGCTTTATTGTATATTACATTAAAAAAATGTAATTCAATAGAAATATAAATAATCTGGAACTGTATGAACATTTTTATAATCTGATAGATTTATTCTGTTGTTGCCACTTTAACTCATTTTCATAAAGTCATAAAAAAAGAAAAAAGCGAACAAATCTTGAAAAACTTCAGTACAATTAATTTTTTTTTTTAAAAAGATAACTTAATTTATTGAGGGAATTCACAGACCTGATCAGAAACGGACAAAAAGATTTGACAGATCTAGTTGAACATGTTGGCCTTTTGTAAACTTTATGTAAAGTTGCTGTTTTAGTAAATTTTGCAGTGGTAAACTAACACTTTAAAAGTCTGAGTGCATTTGATCCCACTCTGAATTAGTGTTAAATTAACTCTCTACATACTTACAGTACTTGAAAAATGATATATTCGTTGTTATATTTTTCATCCATGGAGGTCACCATGTTTTCACCTCTTCCATTCATGCTGGGTTGATGAAGTAGTTAGGTCTGACTGGACTGGAACCTACGGAGTAAACACAGGAAGGCTACCAGAGCTGTTTTTTGTCTCTGACTAGTGTAAATTTAGACTTTGCTGCCTCAAAGCATAAATGAGCCGTTATACAAAAGATATCTGCTGAAACAAACAAATATGATCAGCCTGTGATCTACTGTTTACTACATAAACTAGAGTTAATACCGTTATCAGAAGCTGAATAACAATCAAATTCGAAGATAGTGACAGTAAAGCATCTCTTGGTTCATTATAACTCATCGATCCTGATTTCTACATTTTCAGAAATTTCAATGCAATCTGGTTCAAACTGAAAAGGTTCAAGTTCTTCATTGCTGTTTTGGCTGAACAGAGCTATCGCTACAGGACCTACAATACGTCATCTACTCATAATAAACTGCAGAGTAAACAACATGCCACTGTCTGTGTGACTATATTTTATTAAAATGTATTAAACTAAACAGCTTACAGTATTTCTGCCCTATTGTATTTACACGGAAAATACATATTTCTCAAATAAAGCCTATTGTTACAACTAATGTATACCATTTAAGGCCAGAAATCAGACAAACAACCACATGGAGGCGCACATATGCTTAGGCCTGTCATGCATTTAAAAAAACAACTTTTTGACTCTTCCCATGATTTTGGGAAATGCTCTTTGTTTTGTTTTCCTAAGCATGTGTCGATCCATCACAATTGCTGTATCACCGACTCTGTATTTCAGACCAAAACATCCGACCATCATTCAAACATGGTGGTAGAGGGTCATTTTGTGACTTCAGGATGGCATTAAATGGAACTATGAATACTGCTACGGTTCAGCTGATCCAGATCCCAGCAGCAGGCCGAAAAAATAAAATAAAATGTTTTCTTGTGGCCTAGTCAAAGCCTGGGCAGAAACCTAAGTGAGATAATGGCGACTAAATGCAGTTAAGCTAACAAGAATGGGGCAATTTTTTTTTTATTTTGTATCATGAACAAAAAAAAAATTAACTGCCAGTTACTGCAAAAAACAACCAGTTATGAACTTAACAGTTTTTTTTTGTGTTTTTTTTAAGGACCTGGTTTGTTAGAATAGCTTTTTTGAATTTACAAATGAAACCACTTTGAATCTGACTTTTTCATCTCATATTCCGCTTGTTAGATGTATTTTCTGAAGAGGAGAACTCCTTTCTGTCCAGTTCGAGGGTAAAATCTGTTCATCCAGAGAGTTGTGTAGTCGTGTATCATAGAAATGTGTAGCATCCTTTTCCTGTTTACTGTCATGCTGCAAGGTTCCTTCTTAAACTGCACCTTAATCAAATCAATCAGCTGTTTTCTTTTTTTCTGAAAATGATTTTGGATTCATCTATGTTGCTTAAAGGATTAGAACTGTGATGCTGCTTGTCATCCTCTCTGTGGTGCATTTCTGCTTACATTTATCTGTTTCCATATTTTCCTACTTTTTAACACTGTGTGTAAATATTTATGCAACTTAACAAATTTATTCACATTTAGAATCTGGTAACAGTAGCTGTAAGTCGGTGCTCATTTTAAATAGCTATGTCAGTGGTTTGAGTTTATATCTGAAAAACAACATATGGGTCAGTAATACTGCATTCTCTACATCCAAACCTGTTTTGTGTCCTCTAGATGCACCTCTTAAATCATCTGTTGGATCATCTGTTGAGTTTTTTATTGAAAAATTGAAAACTTTCCCTTTATATTTTTTGTTTAATAAAAAGTTAACAGTCATCTGTTAGTGGACTCTTTTTATTCTGTTATAGTTTGTATAACATGATATAATAGAAAATCCCTTTAGTGTCTTACAATGTGAAAATACAGGCAATAATTATTAAATTATAAAAATATATAATAATAATAATAATAATAAGTAAAGGCAATCATAATAAAGACAATAATAATTATAGGCCTACTTAAAAAATATGGCAGCTGAGTGTCTATCAATTTGTTCTACTGTTTTTTTTTTGTTTGTTTGTTTTTTTTTACCAGAAAACGGTAGTGATGTAATATAGTGGTGCTTATAGTGTAAGGATTTTGGGGTCATGAATTAATCCTAAAATCTGTTGGATAATTAAAAAAGAAAATATATAATAATAATGTTAGAACTGTAAATATACAGTCATATGTTTATATTACTATTTTTTATGTATTTATTACTGTTTTCAAGGCTGTGCTTTAAAAAATGAAATTGTCTAGTGCAGTTTTAAACGAAATGTATTTTTGTTTACACTCGTATATACAAATACTACAAATAAATCTAATTGCTTGAAGGGGTTCTGCTGCCCCCTTGCGGCGGACATGCACTCCTGCAGCCGTGCTGGGTAACCTCCTCCGCGGGCGCCGCTGCTCTCTCTGTGTTTGTGTATGTGGAATGCGGGTCAAGCGGAACTCACGGGAAAAACTGCGCTTCGCATCAAACTCAAACACCGGCTTTCATCACTCGGACGTGCTCTGTATGTACCGTATTATTTTATTAAACGATATAAACCCGCTTGCATTTGTTGCACGTGTTTTTTTTTTGCCTCTACCGGGGCGTTTAGGTGAGTTTATATATATCTGTTATGGTCGCACCAGCAGTCCGCTAGGAAAACGCGACGTCGTCATTTAAAATGGCGCCAAAGATTAACCTCCGCCAGTTCATTTTCGATAAACACACCTCACTGTAACCAACTGTTTAACCACAACAGTAACGAAACACTGGTCCCATTGAAACGGATACTTCTAATTTATCTGCACATGTTAACTTTTGAGAAATACGACTGAGTCCAAGTTTGACCCCTAACCTTTGACGGATAGGGGGCTGTTTGTGTTTTCTAATGAGTTAGCACCGTGGAAGCCGTGCTAGCTGATGCTAACGGCGGCGGCTTTGGAACTGACGTTTGTTAGCTCGCAGCTAACTAGCTAGCTAACACTTAGCATCGGCATAATTTAGTTATTGCTCCTGAAACGTCTCTAGTTTGAATTGGTTTGTGCATATCAGTGCATGATAATATAAATTTACACGATGCGCTTTGATTCGGTCTAAAAAATCCCCCTTTATTAATCTTAGCGAGAGTTCCACTTGATGCATCGGGTGTGGGTGGGCCCATAGGTTGCATAACGGTAAGGAAAATAGCAACAAAGCTGTAATTCGACATTATTCATCTGTTTATATCAATAATCGTGGCTGGGATTAAAGTATTATTCGCTGTATTTTTATCGGTGATTAAAAATATATGTGTAAATGTTACACGTAGTTCATCTAAAAAGAACGGAGATGTTTACTGGTGTTGCTGCCACTTAGTTTGGCACCATCACAGCACTGAAGCTAGCATTCGAATCGGCCCTGTATAACTCTTGCTAATAAATTGTTTCGCAGCCTTTAATAGCTCTGTAAAGCTCTACAACTAGATTATCAAAATTATATAAGGATTTATTGAATTGCCGCCATAAAACTATATATTTAGGTTTTTAAAATAGAAAATCTGTTCGTTTTTACAGTGGTTTACGGTAATTGTAAACTGAATCCATCATAAACATCTTATCTTACATTGATATTTGATTAAGAAAAAATAAATCAACCATCTTTTTATGTTATAACTTAATAGTAATTATTTTAATATTGTTTTCGAGTTGGCCTACTCTAAGCAGGACCTAATTAATAATATCTCAAGAATAAAAATGCCTAAAATCATAATTTGAGTACATATTAACTAATTAGGTTGAATAAGGATTTGTAAATCAAAAATGTATTTATTGTTTTATTAGTGTAGAGTATATGAGGCTTTATTTTTCTTATTTATATGATTTTGTTGAGGTTTAATAAATAAATAAAAAATTTTATTGAAGCTGCAATTTCTGGAAAATAATTTACTGTGTCAAATGTTTACAGTGTAGTTGTTATGAGGAAGACATTCTAGGGTCCCCATGCAAATATTTTATATAGTGTTAAGGTTTGATGGATCATCTGTTGTACTTTTTAGACTTAAACAGATTTTAATTTGTCATTTTGTAAACTTAAGTGTAAAATTTGCAATATAGCTGTTCATGGTTGACATTTCCATGTTTTAAGGTGGGTCCTTTCTGTTTTTATAAATTAAATTAAGATTTCACAACTCAAAATTTTTGTTTTTTGTTTAGCATATTAAATCAGTACAATATAATATATTTTATCACCAGCAGTCCTAGTCTACGATTCAGAAGCTGACTTCAGTCTCTGTTTGTGACGCGTGCGTGCAGAACGAGGGGTTTTTGCCACACAAACGAGCTAGCTTCAGTGTTATAGCCTAGCATGCTAAATTAGGGTTAGCGCCTTTCCTCGATGCGTAAACTTTTGGTATTTTCCGCTCTTTGGAGGCTATTAGTCAGTGCTGATTTTACTGAATATGTAACGGTAGGTCCATGAGCCACGCGGCGATGTGATGTTTACGTGCGCGGGGGAAAGTGTGGAAAGTTACCTTGGAGTGTAAACACGCGTGACGCGGTGTAATCTCCAAGGAAACACGTGAAGTAGTGCATTTTTTTGTTTTTTTCTTCTGTTTCGCTCCACTTTGCACTTTCTTGTTAAAATAACAGCCTTCGGGTGGTAAAAGTGAAAGCATTGAGCCGCGGTGAGAATCTGAACCGAGGAGAAGCTCTTATTTCCGAGGGCTTCTGGAAGCGTCCTGTTGTTGACATTTCAGGTCTTGCAATGTTGCGTAATATCGCTTAGTCTCTATTATAAGCTATTGTAAACGTGGAGTTTTAATATTTAACTGATCGATACGTTTAATTTAGCCTTTTTATTTTTGTTTCTTAAGGGTTTAATTAAGATATTTTAATCGATACTCTGTCTAAGAAGTTATCCTTTAAGTTTTTTTTTTATAATCTTTCCTTTTCAGTATTATTTCCTAACACTTTCGCTCACACATTCATGCTCATCTTTATTATTTTATGTTTAGGGTCCTGATGCCGGAGCTCCACAGACAGAAGACGATGAAGAGAAGCAGGCATCCCAGCAGCAGCGATGACTCAGATAATGGAAGTAAGCAAAACATTGCCTCAGCTGACTCAGCCAAACAAAGCTTGTGTAAATGTGGACATCAGTGTGTAGTTTAACAGAAGTACATTTGGGTAAATGTTTTGATTTAGTCATTTGTAGCTAAAGCATCCTCCGTAAATAAAACCAAGTTGCAACATTGAATTACTTTGATAACAACTCTTAAAAATCATAATAAAAATGTAAACTTTTATTCATCTTTGCAGTATAAAATGAAAGGTGTGATATCATATTTGGTTTTGCATAAAATCAGAATATCTGTGCTGTTTGTCAAATTTATTTTGCATTAACTAAAAAGCTACCACACCAAACTTAGATGTTTACATCCTCCATTATCAGGTGTATATTTGATATTTCTTTTGCTTTAAATACCTGGTCTAGTTATAAATCTTACTGTGCAGTAGGAAACTATGAATTTAGATAACCTGGGCAGTATAGAAAAGATCAGGACTAGAATTAGATGCTAACTTCATAATAATCTCGAGTTAAAAGTGCTCTATTTTATAATATGAAAGCTTGAATCCAATTTCAAAGTTGAATATGATCTAATTTCTTTTTTCAAACCCAAAAAGCATTAATTTTCCCACTGCTGTGAAGCTGTTATAGTTGTATTTAGTATCTAAAATATTTATGATTTAGAAAATGCAATCAAGCTAAAATTTAGATTAAAACTGAATTTAGAGAAAAGTGTAAAGTTAACATGGTTGTCAGACAGAACGGTGTCAGACGGCTGCCTGTAGACCAACACTAGAAAAAAAGCTGATATCAGTGGAGTTAGCTTGTAGCCTGTTAGCTGGGTCGAGACTGTAGTTCTCCTTTGCTTGTAGTATTAACAACTTACAGTAGTTTAAAAATAATGTGACCCCAATAAGAGTTAGGGTTGTGCTGCTGTAGTTTTCACAGACTTAAACATTTCCGAGTCCTTTAAGCCTTGGATGTTGTCCTGGCCGAAACAGCAGTGTGTGGGGAGATCTGGGCTACTCTGTGCTCAGAGCCGAAACTGAGAGCGGTGCTCTCTCTGGCTTCTGATTAAAATGTTCCCTGCTTACCATAGGAAAAGTAATGATGGGTAATTTAGACCATGCCCTAAACAAACCGGAGTCACATGAGCCTTGAAGCTTGACCTTAACTAGACAAAGGTATATTTAACTTGCTTACGTTAAATATGATGTTTAAAGTCCAAGTCCTTCCTTTTCAATAAGCCTCGTCACAGCAGCATTCCCAAATAGCAGCATGGATGCTAACAGTTACAGACTAGATGTGCAGTTTAGAATGGGAAGAGCTTGATACCCCCCTGCAGAAGTGACTTTTGGATATCATGAGTAATTAAAGATAAGCTTCACTGAAAGTCACTCTTATTGTATTGTAAGTCACCCATCGCTGTTATTAAGCCATGATTTGTTTGAAAGGATAGTGAAGCCTCTATAGCAGCAGAGCTCAGGTTCATCAAGCAAGTCGGCAAATGAATTAATCTGCCAGCGTAATGCTCTGAAGAGCAGAACAACTGGGGGCGCAAACGTCCTGCAGGATAACCATATTTCCATGAAAATGGTTACCAATTGAAGAAGAGCTGCAGCTAATGGTTATATGGCTGTAGATTCTATACTTTTTTAATAATATAATAGCAAAAGGTTCCTTAAGTCCGATTTGAAGATTTTCTGAAGGTTTAAAATCAGTAAAAACGAAATAAATACATAAAAAGTTTGAAAAAATGAAATCAGAAAAAGGTAAATTAATAAAATAATCTTTAAAATATTACTTTCATTCTTTTTCTGGATGGACTCTTATTCAATTTGCTTTGGATGCTTAGGTTCATAATAAGAAGTTAAATAAGCCAGTTTTAAAGGTATAGTGGAGGATGTTCTTCATTCTGGTTATATGTTTACATAAGGCCGTCCACGTGCTCATCCCCATTTTCACTTACTGGTGGTGAGTCTGACATGGTGGAAAAATTACAAATCTTATTTTGGAAAGTAAGCTTGTATGAGCGATGCAAACAGCAACTTTTAAACAGAGCGTGCACAAGGAGAAATGGGCTCTTGCATGCGTTTAATGGGCGTTCCCACTCTGTTCTTTAACTTGAGAGGGTAATTCTTTTCAAAAATTCCCGAAAATCCCCCACAATACCATTAGTATTGTATTTAAAATGGATGCAAGATATTTATATTTTATATGTCCTGGAGGAAATCCAGGTGCTTTGCAAACAGAACAGCTGGAGCCAATAATTCCTGGTTGTATTTCAGGTAATTCCACCTGCTGGTCCCTGCATTCATCACAGCATCGGAGAGGAACGGGGCAGAAACCCTCTGAGGTAAGTCTGTTCTTCACCGTCACACAGGACGTGTTGTTTCCTGCAGATCCATTATAGGAATCTATAGGTTTTTAATATGTTTTCTGTGCATTTTTTGTGTAATAGATCCTAATCCAAGTAATTGACAACAGCTTGAAATGTCAATACATAAAGGAACTGCAGAGATCCACAGTTGATCCTGTGCAGGCAGAAACTAAACACCCCTGCTGAAAAGCAAATAATACTTGCAATTCACTTGTCCGGCCACACACACACACACCAAAATGGTACAGAAGCATTTTAATTCATTGGTGGTAGCACTGTATCGACTTTTAAAAATGAGTATTGTATCCGGATACAATGTTTCAGTATCAATACTTTTTTGAGTATCAATACTTCTGACAACCCTAATTGATATCAAACATGTATTTCATAAGTGAACTTCCGGTTGCATTTAAAGCTCTGATACCATGAAGGTTATCCACATTTCTGGACTTATTACATCATAGATCATTAGATCATGTGTGGGAGTGTTGGTCTAGTTGTTAAGACCAGTGCGCTTGTGCTCTGAGAAGGTTACAGGTACCCAGTTCGATCTTTGATTGTGCAGAAACTGAGTTACCAATCAGTTATTGAATCGTGGAAGTAACTATAGTCATTGTTTAAGTATCATTCCTGACATTGCTTACTGTAGCCAACCAAATGTAAATAAGATATTTAAATATCACATTGTGTGATTTTGTTTATATATTTTAGAAGTGTAGCTATAATGAAAACTAAAGACTTTGGTTCTTTGTAAGCAGGAATATCTGCTTATTTTGAAAGTGAATGCAGATCTATTATGTTTATAGAGAGCAGTTTATTAGAGCAGGGCTGAAGCTGTGCCGGCTTCATGATCTGAGACCCACAGTAGTTGTGGAAACATCTGTCCTGTTATCTCTGTGCAGCCTGCAAACTACCGACACGCCCTCTAACTCAGAGGCCAATTAAATTGAAGAAAAACAATAGGCTTTACCAATGCAGCGTTCTAATTGGCTAATCCAGAAAGCAGAGCGTTTACTCTTAGTTTAAAATTATAAGCATATGAAATCAGCTCAGGTATATTATTGGCAAAAATAAATGCTAATGATTCAGTTTTTAGCAGTTTTCTATGGAATTTCTTCCATTGTTACAAAAAAAAACACCCTTTTCTAAATGAAATTAAAATAAAACACATTTGAAATAACAGAAATGCAATCTAGAAAAGAAACCTAAAAAAAAAAAAAAGTTAAATGTTTTGAGGGTAACTGCTGTTCTAAAAAAAATACATTTTTTAATATATTTGATATTTTACAACATTTTACAGCTTTAATATTTTCTTTATTTTTTCAAATGTCTATTTTTCAGATTGAGTTTTATTTATTGCATTCTTTTCAGCCTTTTCTCTGGATTGAGGAGTGAAAGGAAATTTCTATTGGTCTGTATTTGTGTTTTTAATTGATTGATGTGCGCATTATGAGCAAACGCTGTTAATGGGCTTAATATGAAGAGGGTGTGAAAATAAAACCTGAAAAGAATGCAATTCCCCAAATTCCTAAAATAAAGAGAATTTCAAATAAAAAAAATGCGCAACAGAAAAAAATGTCATTGTTTTTCAAAGTTTTAAACCCCCATAAAGCGTACCGCAAATCTAATGAAAGTGTAAAAAATTAACATACACAAAAAAACCCAAAAAATAAATTTATTGATTACTTCATATGCACTGTGTAGTAATGAAAAAAAAAAAAATAATGATAATAATTTATTGCTCAAAACCCAGAGTTAATTTTTACAACCTACAGTAAATATGTGTATAGAGAATAAATGATCAGAGTTATTGATTATAATTTAATTTATTCCAGTCTTTGAACTCAGGAACCTTGTTGTTTAAAGCCATTTGCTTGACTGAATTAAAAATAGTAAACAGATAATTCTGTTACTGTGTTGCAGGTTTTTAGGACAGACTTGATCACAGCCATGAAGTTACACGACTCATATCCACTGAATCCTGAGGATTACTACATCCTGGTAGATCCATGGAGGCAGGAGTGGGAGAAAGGTGTCCAGGTGCCTGTGAGCCCCCAGTCCATTCCTCAGCCTCTGACCAGGTAGAGAACTATGAGCTTCTATGCCTCATCCTTTGTACCGTTTTCAAAAATGGAAACCCTTTAACGCCAACGGTTTTAAATATGTTTTAGTTTATGAATTTTTGGGGTGTATATGTTTATTTTTTCCTTGGATAGTAGGTCAGAGATGGAGCTTTTATTGTTGTTTCTTACAGAGTTTTGGCAGAGAAAGGAAAGGAGGTCATGTTCATCAGGCCTAAGAAGTTGATCCGGACGTCGGGCACGGAGGCGCTGGGCTACGTTGACATCCGGACCCTGGCGGAGGGGATGTGTCGCTACGACCTGAACGAAGAAGACGTGGCTTGGCTGCAGATCATCAATGAGGAGTTTGCACAGATGGGTGAGCTACACATCACACCTTATAACCGTGTAAGATTATTTAGGGACGCCCTTCAAGCAAAGAGTCTACAGACAGGCTTTGTTTACAAAGACAGCGTGGCTTTGATTAAACAAGTGGTCGAAATGTGGCTTCAAGATGGTTTTAGGTAAGAAAGTCCATCTCAGAATATTAGCCATGCAAACGGTTCAAATATTCTGCAGTTGTTTGGAGCAGCATACTCCTGCACACCGGCGGCCTGTCGCACTGAGAATCCCCAGTGATTTCCCCACTGCTGTTCATAGTGGCTAGAAGTGAATATATAGGGTTTTTAGGTGGTTAAAAACTGAGAAGACGTTAGCTCCACGCAGAGATGCATAAATCAAGTGAAATACCACTTTGAGCATGGATTTGATCAACAAATAGCATGATAGTTACTTAAATGATCAAAAAGTAGATTTTTGCATGATATAGAACCCATAAAGTCTTATCTTTGGCCAATTAGTAGTGGTTTTGATAGCAGGTCATTTCTGTCAGTGAGATCTTAAGCTGAAGAGCTGCTGTGTCCAGGAGATCCTGGTTAACAGCCATGTTTTCTGCAGCGATGCCGCCGCTGGATGAGAACACGATGGAGAGAGTTATGGAGGAGTTCGAACACTGCTGTCACGAAAACATGACGCACGCCATGGAGACAGAGGAGGGACTGGGCATCGAGTACGACGAAGACGTGGTGTGTGATGTTTGTCAGTCGCCAGACGGAGAGGACAACAATGAGATGGTGTTCTGCGATAAGTGTAACATCTGCGTTCATCAGGTCAGAAGTTTACATGATTAGAGCCGAGCTCAGTTAGAAATCTTTAAGTCCAGAATTTGACCTGATGCTTTATTTCCTATCAGGCGTGTTACGGCATCCAGAAAGTCCCCAAAGGCAGCTGGCTGTGTAGGATCTGTGCGCTCGGCATCCTCCCAAAGTGCCAGCTGTGTCCTAAAAAGGGCGGAGCCATGAAGCCGACCAGAAGCGGAACCAAGTGGGTTCATGTCAGCTGTGCCTTGTGGATCCCAGAGGTGAAGATCTGTCAGATGTTTTTATTTGATTCTATTGTTCTCCTGCTGTTTTCATCATATAATTATTATATGTTTTCCTTAAGACTCACATGTTGCTGTTGTGTGGATTTGTTTACCAGGTGAGCATTGGGAACCCAGAGAAGATGGAGCCAATCACCAACGTTTCTCACATTCCCAGCAACAGATGGGCTCTGATCTGCTGCCTGTGTAAAGAGAAGACAGGAGCCTGCATACAGGTAAGGAGATCATTTAATCATTTGAAGACCGTGTTTGACCCAGCGCCATGAAGACGGATCTTTTATCATCAAAGATCTCTTCCTTGATTTTGTTTTTTTTTTTTTCAATTCCCATTTGAGCCACATTCCTGTGTGGGCTAGAATCCAACTTAAGTCAGATCTCTAATGTGACTCCAGTAGGAATCACCAGGGTGGATTAAATGAGACTTTCCCTCACATTTGTCGCCATGTTGCTCTGCCCACCAGGAAATTGTAGCAGTTGGCAGAACAGACGGGAACTAGGATAGCAAAGCACAGTGGAGAGACTTTATTTAATTCTAATTAAAAGGCTCATAGAAACCGTCTGAATTTGGAACGTTGCTTTTATCCTCAATTTCAAGTACAACACTTCAAACAGAGGAATGCTATTAAGGTTAGAGAGCATCGGTTCCAGCTGCGGTCTGATAAACTGTATTGTGCCAAGTCTGGCATGTATTAATAAAACGTGATAAAGTTGTGAATAAACTTGGTTTCTGTGAAGTTGATAACATCCCTGTTCCACCATTACTGATTGCACATCTGCATCCAAACAATCTTTTGTGCAGAAATAGCAATCAGTTCTCCCTAAAATGAATTTTCCTTCCTTTTGTTCATGTGTTTCACACCCAGCACCTTGTGTTACATTAAACCGCCTCTGTTTTGGCCTGAAGGATAGCACCTATTGCTCTGTTTACTGTTGTGCTTCGTGTGACGACAGTCTGTCAGTTTGAAGCTGCAAGCGGTTCATAATGAAGTCAGATAAAGGACGCATTTATAGCTAATGAGAACGACCACAAAAAATCAGATTCCTGGGAAAAAAATTGGATTAAGAGCTGCAGTGGAAATGTAGCCAAAGTGATTTGCAGCTGTTCTGCTTTTAATTGTGGGCGGAGCAAATGTGGAAAAAAGAGCTGCATCTTAGTCAGACTGATGGCCTCCATGCTATGTCGCACTGATGCATAGTTCTGCTAGAAACAGCCTTTTTATTGAACTTATGAGACGTTCTAATTTTCTGAGTCGCTAAACTTCTGATATTTTATTATCAGTCAACTATGATGAAAAAATTAGAATTTTTCACTTTGTGCAATTAGGCTATTTATTATTCCACATAAGTTATCAGTTGTAAATTAATGATTTTATTAGAGAATCAATAACTGCTTTAATTGGTGTAATATCTGTGTTATTACAGTCTGTCTGACGCCACTTATTCAATTTCCAGTGCTCAGCAAAAAACTGCAGGACTGCCTTCCATGTGACGTGTGGTCTCCATGCCAGCCTGGAAATGAACACCATCCTAACTGAGGAGGACGAGGTGAAGTTCAAATCCTACTGCCCCAAACACTCCGGGATCCAAGGTACCGAGGCAAACCACCGCGACTCCGGGGACGAAGAGGAGAAGGAGGTGCCCAGAGACCAGAGAGGGAGGACGAAGAGCGATCAGGAGGAGCTCAGCAGCCGCCAGCAGGAGAAGAGGGTCAACCTCCGCAAGCTGAAGCTGCAGGAGATGGAGGAGGAGTTCTACCAGTTTGTGGATGTGGAGGAGGTGGCCAAGAGCCTGAAGCTGCCGGCCGAAGCCGTCGACTTCATCTACCAGTACTGGAAGCTGAAACGCAAAGCCAACTTCAACCAGCAGCTGCTCACACCCAAGAAGGATGAGGAGGAGAGCCTGGCTCGCCGGGAGCAGGAGGTGCTGCTGCGACGCCTGCAGCTCTTCACCCACCTCAGACAGGACCTGGAGAGGGTAGGTCTGCGCTTCCTCCGCAAGGCAGAGATCAGCACCGGGGACAGAGCCGTAGGCAGGATTATATGACAGATTAAGGGTTGAAAGCAGCACAAGAAAAGTAGGAGAGGATGGATAAAAAAAAACATTATTAGATTCCTCCTAATATACAGTATTCAGAATTTTACTTCCTGGTTTTTCTGTCAGAATAACGTCACACTGTGTTTGAGGGAGAATAGCTACTGAAAAGTTGAATCAACACAAATGATACAGAGATAATATTTTAGGTGGAGGGCAGAACTCTGAATTATTATTATTATTGTTTTTTTGCTGTTGGTTCTGGGTCTCTGTTTGGTTTGGTGTTGAGGACGGATCCAGATTCCCTCATTTTTTAGCAGAACATCTTAAAACCGACATCTTCATTCTGACAGAATAACCCAGGCTGTTCTTTCTGCTTATTGCAGTGAATTCTATAAATCCTGTTTCCATCTTCAATGTCTACAAAACCGCGATAAATCTGGAAAAGCACATGGCAACAGCAGAGTTAAACACTAATTGATCCATATTTCAGCCACGGCTCCAGTGCCCATCGTCGCAAACTAAAAGTATAAAAAATATTCAGTTTCCTCATGAATCCAAACTTGCAGCTTTGTTGACCTTAAACTTCAGGTCACTCCCATGATGTGAAACATGTTTCATTGCGTTTTGGGAAATATAAGACTTTCATTACAATAAAAAAAAAATTAACTAAAAATGCTAGTTTTTTTTTTCTTTAAAATTGCAGGGCAAATTTGTTTTCATCCTCAGTTTTTACTGAACAACCGAAGAATATTGAAGCTGATCGGGGACTGGTGACAGGGTGTGATGTGGTAAAAATGTTGAATCTTGTTCCTTAGGTCCGTAACCTGACCTACATGGTGACCCGGAGAGAGAAGCTGAAGCGATCGCTCTGTAAAGTCCAGGAGCAGATTTTCCAAAACCAGGTCCGGCTGCTGGACCACGAGCTGCTCAACGGTGAGTCGTCCCAATGGATCCAGAAACGTCTGCACAATTGTTTCTGTTTTTAGATTTATTCTATTCCTGCTGGAAAAGGTCTGGAATCTGATTTTTCAGTTTTTTTTCCTCCTTGAAGAAGAAGAAAACATATTTAGTGTTTCAGATTTTTCCTTTTTCTATCATCCATCCATCCATCCATCCATCCATCCATCCATCCATCCATCCATCCATCCATCCATCCCATTTTTAGATGCTCCTGTTAGGGCTGGATAATTTAGCCAGGAATTAATATTGTAACTTCTTTTGCACAAACCAAACAATCATGTAGATTTTTGTTTCCCTCTTTGTTTTCCTGACTCTTTCTGATTTCTGCAGGACTTTACTGTTGATTGGAAAAGTTATTTCTACTTCATGGATCTATTAATCGCTGTGTCTTACTCTTCTTGAATATAATGGGAACTAAACTGAACGTTTCTGTGATTTGAAAATGTTTTTGTTAAATTGGGATTAAGTTGAACATAAAAACAGCATTTATTTGAACCATCCTTTATGTCTGTCCGTGGCTCGTTATCAGGAGCCTGAAGTAGGAAGCAGCCAGGAGAAATCTGAACGCTCCAGAGCCGTCCCTCTATTTCGGGTTCTGTTTCATTCTAATCCACCTGTCCATGTCTTTTTCTACCATCTATTCTAATTTCTAGAAAAAAAACCCTTAAAGAACAGAATTGGCGACAGATCAATACATTGGCCTGCATCTATTTTTGGCTGATATTAGCCTTTTTTTCTTGTTCGTCTGAGCTGATTTTAGATCACAACAGCCGCATGCATTACTACTCCCTCCTTTTTCCTTTTCATTTCTAACATTTGTTTGCTTCATTAACATATTTGTGTTTATAATAAGACTCAAGTAACATTTATCATGGTGTCTTTTTTTTATTTAATTTTTTTACGAGTCGGCCCCGAAAATTGACAGTCCATATGAAGGATCGGTTAAACTAATGGGGGAAACATAGTCGATCTCTAGTCAGAATAGTAAAACCATGCATCACTTCGGTTTAGACCCTGACAGCATCCTAAAGCTGTGCTTCTCTCTCTGTTTCAGGTGATCCTTCTGCAAAGGACCTGGAGAAGCTGTTCTCTGGGGGTTCCTTATCCTCCCTTGGTTCCTTGTCCGGCTCCTCCTGGAGTGACTCTGGTCAGAAGAGCAAACGAAGCTTGCAGATACGGGAAAGAAGGAAAAGCTCATCAGACTCCATGAATGCTCCCAAAGAGGACAGTCAGTGCAAGCCGTCGGAGATTAAGGAAAACAAAAGCTCCCGAAGCAAAGAGCCGGCCGCCACGGAGCCTGCAGGCGAGGTCAAAGTCCAAAAGGCCGAGGTTAGCGAGGGGCCTTTCATGAAGCTCCCAAAACCTGAGATGATCCAGGAACGCGCCTCCATCAAGTTGCACAAGCTTGAGATCAGGAAAGGCCCCAGAAGAGAGGCTCCAGAAGCAGAAGTGACGTTTAGTCACAAACCAGACCCGGAGCAAGAGGAGCGAGGGAGGAAGAGGAGGAGTGAGGATGCAGAGAGCTTCCCCTGCCAGCTGAAGAACAAGTTCAGCTCCAAACATCTGGATAAAACCGTCTCCATCAGGCTGGTGGACATCAGAAACTCTGACTCCGACGAGTATTTATTCGATGATGGGATGGCCAGACGTAGCAGCGGTCCTTTGGATGTTACTCCCACTGCAAAGTTTAAAACCAGCATGGTTTCGGAGGTCTCCAAAACTAACGGCTGGCTCAAGAAGCCCTTGAACAGCGGCTCCAGCGGCCCAAACGGATCCGTGCCGGGACATCTGAAAGGCTGGGGGAAGTTTCGGATCCCAAAGAGGAACGACAAGCCTCTGAGCGCCGCTTTGAAGCAGGGGGAGGAGCTGCAGCAGAGCAACCCTCTGCTCAGACCGCTCACAAACACCCCAGACCCAGCGTACCCCAGAACGCGGCTCCGCACGGCGCCGGAGCCCGACGGCGAACTGGAGCCCTGCCTCAAACGATGCCACTCCCACGAGTTGAGGGGCGACTCGTCCCTGGGGCGGCGCTACGCCTCTGACATTATCCGCCGAGGCGTGCTGGCCTCCTGATGAAGAGCACGCCGCACTGTGGTATTCAGAAAAGAACGACTGTCACTCTTTGTACCCTTATTTTCTCTAGAAATCATGAAATGGCTTAGATGGAGAATAAAAACAACCAGAGCTGATATTTATTTTTTATTTGTACCATAATGTAAAACTGGGAAATATTTGAATTTATTTTGAGCTAGTTAGTTTTATTTTGTTGAGTTTTTTTTAGGTAGAAAATTGTCAAGTTGCCACTTAAATCGCTTGCTCCAATATTTACAAGCAAAAGCATCAACTAGGACGATGTTGTGATTGTTGCTTGGGACCATAAGCTTGCAATGTAACTTGTGTTTATTATAGTATTAAAGTCGGTTGCACTTCGCCGATCAACTCAAACATATAATCCTGATCTGATCAGCCAGTAGGACTCTTGTAGTTCTGTATTTTCTTATCTTTATCTAATCAAGCATCAGACAGCTGAAACCAGGAAGTCCAGCGTTTCATTGCTATTGGTCTCACAGAGTATGAACTGGAAAAGCCACCAAGAGGAAATCAAAGAAATGTTTCCACGTCATCAGCACTTAAGTGTAATTGAACTGCGATCGTATCCATCATGTGCCTAACTTTTATTTGAAGCGTTTGCACTACGAGAAGATGGCACAGGTGGGAGGCACGAGAAGAGATATTTTTACACTGAAAAATAAGCGTTTTGTACCCTCGGCCGCTGCTGTACTACTGTTATGCAAAAGAAGTGTGTGTGAGTGCGGGGAGGCATGTCTTGAAGAGAAATAAAAAATACTTTGAAGACAAATCTTTGTACGTGTGTGCAAGAGAATCATAATTACAAGTTCATTTCCAGTAGTGTGTTTAATGTAAAATGTTTATCTGTGCTTTATTTACCTACTTTAGGATTAATTAAATGATTTCTACCCTTAAAATGGCATAGAAATAAAGTTTTTTTTTTTTTTTTTTTTTGCTTTAGCCTTTCAAAACCCACCGGGTCGCCGTACAGCGCTTAATAACTCAGAATGCATGAAAATTACACTGTTAAAATGTTTACCAGTATTGACATGTTAGACATCATGGGAAAGCTTAGATTATCCACAATTCAACCACCTAGTTCATTTTATGGACATGGTGAGCACCAAAGCGCAATTAACAGATACAGCAGCATGTCGAAATGTAGCACAACAAAGCAGCCACATTATTATCGCTGTTCAGAAAAAGACTTATTTTGGAGAATAAAAAAAAGGAAAACTACTTTGAGTCTTGTTTGAACTGATGCAGCTTGGGTGTTTTAGTCACCCAATTTTCATGTTTATATTAAGAAACTAGAGGGTGTTAGCTTTCAAATAATGTATCTCATGTAATTTGGGCTTACAGTTTCTAAGTTATTTGCTTTTCCATTAAGGTATGCAAAATAGGCAAAGGTTACCCATAATGAGGTGGATGTTAAGAGGTTAGTGCAACCATGCTACTTTTGACCCAAATATTAGCTTAACTTGAGATGTATTTGTTTTTTTTTTTTTTTAGCTCAGAAAGAGCAGTCTAAGCACCCCTTAAAAATCAGAGCTTGCTAACTAACAGTTGCTAGGTAACTAAACAGATATGACACTGGATTAAGAGATATTTTTGTTTCTCTGATTTAATCTATAGGCCTGAATGTGGCCTCATCTTTACCATCAACTCCAAGAATTCTCAGACGGCTGATTTCAAAACAGGGATACTGACTAATTTGGTACAGGGCTAAAACAATCATTAATTGTAAATCAATTATTGAAATAACAATCAACTAATTTAGTAATTAACTGGAGCATGGAGACTAAAACATGCTTTTAGCCAACAGAGCAACCCAATTAGAGCAGTAATTATATCAAAATTGCAAATTTTTTTTTTTACATTTTTTGATGAAAAAAAACTTGTCAATACGCTCTATCCAGAACTCAAGTGGAAAAGTTTGTTTTATCCAGTTTAATTTCGTAAAGAAAAAAATCTGTAACCCTTTATAGCGCAAGTTACCATTTTTGATCACTTGCATAACCCTATGCAAGGCTTCTAGTGCTTAGTGAGGTCTAGAAGCACAAGATCTATACCCAGCCATTCAGCACAGATACTGCTACATGGCTACATCTTATTTTGGCATTTCACCAATTAGATGAGCCCTTGGATGATATATTACCTACTGGAAATTAAGATGAAAAAAGTTTAGTAAATAAAACGCAAAAAGAGAAGTTAATAAGCATAGTTAAGAATCATATTTAGGTTTATAAATAAAAAATGTAAGTGCCAGTATCAGTATTAATGCCTCTTTCAGTGTTTTTCTTGAATTTCTTATGGAAGCAGTTTTGTTATTTTTCTTAATATATTCAGGCAAGTTGGCTTTTCTTTTTATTACATTGACATTCATTTTTTTCCATCAAAGTATCTATATTTTTTGCATGTTACAAAGGTAATAAGGTCTAGTCCTGGATTCCAATAACACCATTGGCATGAAATTTGGATTTTCAAAGTATTTCACTGGGTGCCCTATAAAGGGTTAAGAAACCTTTGGCTATCCAATTATAAAAAAAAAAAAAGATTAATCTATTTGCAAAACAATAGTTTGGAGTACGGCAAGCCTTTTTAACATATATTCAGAAAGTTTAACTCTTGCTGTATAACTAGGCTTAGGAGTCATCAATATGGCTCTGAGTCTAACTATCTAGAATTTCCATTATTGCTCTCTATAAAACTGTTTTGAATCGTAATTTGGGACTACCGGTAGTATAACATTTAATCTCATATCTCCATCAATGCTGAGTGAGGTTATAGGTAAAGCATGAAAGGCATTCAATAAACTAGGCAGAATTTAAACGGTTTCATCGCTTTATTGCATGTTTCACTAACAATAGATCCTGCACAAGTGTTTCAGCACTGCATAAAAAAAAAAAAAAAAAGGCCAAGAAATAGTATGATATTTACAATAAATGAATCACTATTACCACTTATACATTATGTACACATTAGTCTCTGGTTTTCTATGACAGTAGTTATAAAATGAAAGGTCTACACACACATGACACTTCAGCTCTACAGGGAATTACAGTGCTTACAAAAAAAAAAAAAAAACAACTGGCTGGACTACATTCACTCAACACAGGGTTAGGATGAAGACTAAATGGAACTGCTGCACCAGTGGATGAGTCCCCATTCGCATTAGTTGGAAAAATAAATAAAAAAAAAAGGTGCAGCCATTCAAAAAGATTAGAAATCTGGGAAGCAGAAGGGGGAATGCCCATAAAATTAGCTCATCAAAATTCTTAAGTATTTTTGAGATATTAAACATGACATAATGTGCACTTAACGATGTGAAGCAGTGGTTTGAAGGCGTCCAATCAGCAGACCTCTCAGCAAAGCGCCCGCTTTGTTTCCCTTCAAAGACTCGCAGTGGCGGGGAAACATTCTGCTCCACAAAACTTTGTTCTGTTCTCATTTTGGAAAACATTTAGCCCCTCTCCTTTTTTTCCCCAGGCCAGTGACGGGCCGGTGCTGCAGAGGTTCACATTAACAAGGAGGTAGGTAAAGGGGGGGATTGCAGCACCATGTGATTAAATCCCAGCTCGTCTAATCCCGCTTTTGATTCATAAAAACTTTAAGTTCTAAATGATTAACATCCTGAAAAAAAACATGTTTTATCGGATTTTCTCTCTGCTTTAGATCTATATGGACCTTAGAAGGTCGTGTTCTGCTTTGGGCTGGTACCTGTTAGCACACCGGGTCACACAGGTTCACAACCTGACGCCCTGAAAACAGGAAGTGGCTCAAAGTGAAACTGGGACAGAAATGAGTGAAACATAGTGTGCGTTAAGGTTCTATTATTTCAAGTTAGAAAATCAGGAGAAACGTCATAATTCGATGATAAACAGCATCAGCCTGAGGGGCCAGTGTTTCACTATCCAACAGTAAACAGAGTGACAATTTGAGACCAAAACCTCCTGAGGAAAAACAAAAATAACAGAAGATCGAGAACTTATGAAATCAGCAGAACTCCCGGTCAAAGTTGGCGGCAAGATAAAAAATAAAGATCCTCTACCTCATTTTAAAGACACAGAACGATGTAAAGCACCTTGGGTTCTGACATCCCATAATCAACCTCCCTGTAGTGTGTTTGTTTCAGACCAGTTTAACAGGACTTTTCTTCATTATAATCCGTAATCCCTGCTATTCTGGAAAGGATTTTTTTTTTCCAGTGCTGTTATTAAAACAAAATATTAAAATAAAAAATAAAACTGAGCTAAAACAAAACAGCAGGTGGTAAATAAACAAATATTTCTACATGTACATGTGATCTATGGCTACACAAAGAACTCCAGAGGCCCATCCATAGTGTCCTGCTGTTTCATGTTACATCTGGAACATATAGAGTATATCTAAAAATGAAAATAAAAACAAAAACAACTATCCGTTGGCAACCTGTCTGGTGTCTTACTCTATTACAGTAACCACCATTTTGGTATGTCTGATATAAACATAGATATATAACTAATAGAACTCTGAAAGGGCATGGACTGAGATCCTATCTGCCATGTGGATCAGCTTTCAGAAATAGTTTGCTTTGCTTTTCTGACAATCGAGTAACAGATGATGTTTGGCTGGTAGAAAGTCAGCAGTTGTCGCTTTGCTGATTTGTGCTTTACCACAGATGGACATCTCAGTGCAGACTAGTACAAGAAAACCTGAAAATATTTAAAGATTTTAAAAAAAAGGAACATGGAAGCTAAAGATCACTGCTGAGTGTGAGAGGTCAGCACCTTTCCCTGATTATGATTACATACAGTGCCTCGGTTTCTGTGGAGAAGGCGTCCATCTCTCTGTATGTCATTTCAGGCGTCTGTTGTTTTCCTCTTGGAGCCTTTGGTTTTGCTCTCCGCTCCATCAGGCTTCCTGCAGCCTTTAGAACGGCCGCCCGCTGTGGCGTTTGTCTCAGAGTTAACAATCCGAGCCGGGGTGGAGGTTCCCTCAGTTTCCTCATGCTCGGAACAGCACAGCTCTCCTGTTGGGGGCCAGGGACGCAGCGCCCCCTCCTGGTGAGCCCTGCAGAAGGAGTTGGGGCAGAGCTGACAGAAGGCATCAGAGTTTTTCCCACATACGTCGCAGTGATGCCAGGGGCAGTCCCAGCGGCCTGTGGGGAGCAAAGAGCAGATGTTTAATGGCAAACAGGACAACTGGAAAGGATTTATGCTAAGGCTTCAAACGCTGCAGGTTTGTGGCCAATCAGATGACCGGTCCTTAAAAAGCTGCCAGTTGTCATAAGATCAAACGACACCTTTAATAGTTTAATCTTATCTAAGTAAAAATCGATTGGTAGATGTTATTGTATACAGATTAGTCTCACAAATCTCTAAATGCATTTTTTTTATTTAAAAGAAAAAAAAGGAAGAAGAACAAAGGAAGAAAATACTTAGAGACAAAACATGTTTGTAAAGTTTACAATTTTGAAGATTTCTGGGAAAAATGTCAGCCCCTTGGTTACATTATCAGGGATTCTGCTAAACAAAAAGCTTAAGATGTGTGAAGTCTGAGACTCGGCTCACCGAAGGGTCTCTTGGTGAGGTTTAGGCAGGACAGGTGATAAGCTTTGGTGCAGTTCTTCTTGTCGCAGAGCACCAGCTGTCCTCCATCACCGCAGCGAAAACACTCGTCTTCAGACTTCTTCTTTCCCTCACTTTTCCTCCTCCTATACTTCCTCCTTAACCGCTTCCCTTTTGGCTCCGTGTGACCGTTTGAATTCTGTCAAGGAGAAAGAAAACAGTGTTTTAAAAAAAGCACAAAAAAGTCAGCTATTTTCACCTTATCCCATGAATAGAGATGTAAAGCCTTATACTGAAAGTTGTCGCACTGAAATACTGTCATGTTTTACATGCTGCCTTGTTTTATTAAAGAGGTC